TCCTCCTCCTCCTCCTCCTCGCCCAGCTGCTCGGGGCTGGGGGGCTGGGGGTGCAGCTGGAGTGCCCTCAGCGAGGGGCAGCAGTGCAGGAGCCGGGTGAGAGAGGTGGCACTGTCCAGCCAGAGCCCGCTGAGGGACAGCGAGACCAGGCGGGGCCCGGCCGGGCCCAGGGCGGGCAGCAGCTCCGCCAGCGAGCCGGGGAACTGCACGCTGAGCTCGGCCAGCCTGTCCCACAGGCCTAGCCTCCTGTCCAGCCAGGCTGCGTCCTCGCAGCTCAGGGACAGAGCCCGGATCTCCGGGCACAGGCGGCCCAGGGACCCCAGATCCCTGCAAGTCACCCCGTGAACCTCCTTCAGCCTCAGGGTTATGCACCGGCCGCCCTCTCCTGTGCCCCCGGACCCCTGGCCTCCACCTCTCACCTCTCCCCCTCGCTCCATCAGACTAGAGCCACATCCCTCCCCCTGTCCATCTTCCACACCTTCCGTCTCTCGGCTGAGACACTCCTCCTCTTTGCCGTCAGCCACTTCCTCTTCATTTGCCCCTGAAGAACTCCCTCCTCCTCCTCCTCCGTCTCTCCTCCCTGCCCCCTCCGCGCCCAGCCTCATGCCCAGCGCCCCCTGCAGGGTGGGGAACCCGTGCGGGACAGCGAAGGCGTCGTGCCCCTCGAAGCCCCCCCGCTCCAGGAGGGCGCAGGCCTCGGCCGCCCCCTCGTGGCCGAGCCGCTCCAGCCGGGGCAGGCCCAGCAGGAGGAAGGCCGCACTGCCCACGCTCTCCCTCTCGCCCGCCCCCAGCCCGATGTCCGTGGCTAGGAGGCTGCGCAGCGGATGGTGTGTGCAGCGCCTCCTGCTGGGCAGGTAGGCCAGGTGCAGCAGGGCCCAGGGGGGCAGACCGCTGCAGCAGGACACGTCCAGGTGCTGCAACACCGGGCAGCCCTCCGCCACGGCCGCCACCACGTCCCCGTCGCACTGGCCCCCCGACAGGACCAGGCTGCGCAGGCGGCGGAGACCGGCGGCCAGCTGCGCCAGCACGGCGGGCGGCACGCGCTGGCAGCCGGACAGGTCCAGGGCCAGCAGCTCCTGGGGCAGGAGAGCAAAGAGCCTAAACAAGAGCCAAACCCAATTTCTAAGATAAGACAAGATCCGATCACTTGATTGATACAGTTTCTCGCATTAGGAATTTGTCTTTTCGCAGACCCCAGCTTGCTCTCCGTGAGACGCACAGACAGGGAGAGAAGCTGGGGGTCAGAGCGTAGGGTCAGCCGTTTATACGGCGCCCCTGGGGCAGCTGGGGTGAAGGGCCTTGCTCGGGGGCCCAACGGAGTAGGATTCCTCTGCCAGCCGCGGGATTTGAACCGGCAACCTTCCAAGCCACAGTGCCACCACTCTGCCCCTAAAAGCTTACAGCACCTGGTATTCCCAGGCGGTCTCCCATCCAAGTACTGACCAGGCCCGACCCTGCTTAGCTTCCGAGATCAGACGAGACGAGACGTGTGGCCGTAAGCGACCACCTTATATCCTGTTTTGTTTTTCCTACCACCACAATCTTGGGCTAAACACACTGTTGCGGCAGGTACAGAGAGATGTCAGTCCCCAGCTGTGGACAAAATCTCAGTTTCATTCCTCATCCAGCAGCAGACGCTCGCACAGTGAAAAGCACCTGAACTCCGCTGGGAACTCAGCTTGGGAATGTCTGCACAGGAAGGGAAAAAGTACCTCCTGCTGGTTCACTAACGTCTGCCAGCAGAATCTTTCCGCCCGGATCACCGAGCCTCTGGTATCGCAGTGCGTGGGGGGTGAGACTGACCTGGCAGCGCAGTGCAATGAGCTGGCACAAGGGGGCAGTCACCAGGCCGCTGCAGGGCCGCAGGCAGAGCCGCCGCAGCTGCGGCACCAGGAGGAGGTGGAGCGCGGCTCGGGACGCTCGGCGAGAGGCGCACACCACCGCCAGGAGCTCTTCCACCAGCTCCCCCGCTGAAAACACACAGGTCGGGAGTGAGAGAGTGGTGTCAATGCGTCACGCATGCGCGAATGAGGCAGCGAGACGTCGCGGGAGAGGGAGGGGGTGTTCGGCGAGACATTACGGGAACACAAGTTTGCAACGAGAGAGACCGAGCCGAGCAGCAGGACGCAGGGAGAGTGAGGAAGAGGGCAGAGAGAAGCAGGAGAGGACAGGAACGCTGCCGCGCAGTCAGACCGCGTGAGAGAAACAGGGCCAGAGGTGGACAGGCAGAGACCCAGAGCCGGACAGTCACCCCCTCCCACAATGCCAGATACAGAGCCGACAGCGTGATCGGGGAAAGACAGGGCAGGCAGGAGAAGCTGGCCGCAGGCTGTCGGACAGGCAGGGGGCGCTCACGCAGCAGGCTGAAGGGGCCCATGACGTAGCGGAAGCTGTAGCTGTCCATGTAGTTCTCGGCGTAGTCCCGGGCCCACAGCTCCCTCATGTTGTCCGCCAGGCTGACGAGGCACAGCCTGACCAGGGTGCGCACCTGCCCTCTGCTCCGGCCTTTCTCGGCCTTCTCCCTCTGCCACTGAGGCCCACGGAACAGTGGCATCTCCGGCCAGCAGGCGGCGCTGTGTCACACAGACTGACTGTCAATTCCCGGGAGCAGACCCCCCTCGCCCCCTTAACACTCGCGGTCCGGGGTTCGTCTGTCTCACCTCTATGATGGAGGGGCGTGTGGCGCCACTCTAAATACTAGATGAAGGCTTCCTTGGCATAAGTTAATTGACAGCTCTTTGATTTAGAAAACACCTTCCTCTCTCCATCAGCTGTTGAAGCGCTCTGTACCGTGCTTCAGTCAAACTGAACCCTGAACTACCCACGCCTACGTGTCTGAGGGGCATCTCCAGTTGTACGATTTGAACTTCGTTGAACTGTACGCTTTGCCACCCCCTGTTCTGCCATTTATGTCGCTGCTGACTGCGTTTAAAAATAAAGATTTGTTTCGTGTTCACGGAGGAGAGATTTCTGCGGTTTCTTACCACACCCCACGTACAGTAAGCCCAGGAAAAGCACACATGAGCCTGGTAACTAGTCCGTATCCAGGTAGGAGGTATAGGTTGTCCCTAATGTTCCTCAAACCAGTTATTACATCTGATATAATGTCGGAGAGTGTCGAGGGAAGCAGTCTAAATCTCTTAACCCAGCAATACATGTTAACCTCTGTATTAATTATGAATTCAACAGAACGCCTCCTGTAATAAAACTTACATTTGTATCGCGTCTGATTTATTTTGTTTCACGTCACAAGTCCGTTTTAAAACACAGAGAACATGAGGGGCGAGACAAGACCTTGATTACACACCTTTACAAGGGGATCTTGTCTCTGGAGAGTCTCCAAACGTAAGTGATCGCGTCTCACCTCCTCGCCGACCCAACCGGTGAACACAAAGCTCTTCCGGGCACGCCTTCTTAAACCTGTATAAGCTGTCCAGGTTTATGACATTTTAACCGTGCCGCTATATGCTGACGGGAGCTCCGGAAGAGGGGTTTGAGAAAACACGGGCGATGACAGCGATGGCGAAACTGTGTAAAAAGTCACGTCCCGTAGAGAAGTCAGTCCGCGCTCCTCCTCTGATCCAGCAAGACTGTTCCGCATCCCACATATCCTCCAGGAAAAGATGCACACTAAACGGGAGAAAAGCGAGAAAGCAACCGCACCTTTTTGATCTGAACTCATTGCAGTACCGCCGCGTCGTTTTTTTTTTTTTTGTGTGTTTGTTCTGTGTATTTATTTCAATACCCCCTGCTTGCTACACGTTGAAATTCAAACTCGATGATTTGCCAGTGGTGACCACAATGCAGTTTCCAGGAGCGTGGAACGGCATTTTCTGTTCTTTTCCAGCTTTCTTGCGCGTTTTCCCCCAAACTGAACATTAATTTATTTGACTTTGGAACAGCGCAAACAGCAGACCATATAAATACCCGTGTGTGTCTGACTGGTAACTTGCTCTCTGCTCTATCGCAGCTGTAAGGATTCATTTTGTAGTGACCACTCTAATAAGCTTTTATTGATCCACATGAAATCAGAGGGGAACTCTGGGGGCTGACGAGCTGGCCAATGTTTAACACCGAAGGCAAAAGAGAGAAGAAAAGTCGCAACAACAGTGAGAAGTGTAGGAGTCGAGCAGGACGGATTTAATCACACAACCGGAAACACCCTCCGTTACCAAGGGGATAGTTTCTGTTCGCTCTGTACACATTATTCCAGGGACTGGCTGCTGTTGTTTGAAGTGTCTTGGGTCAAAGTGCTTTTCGATTACAGATCTCAAAGCGGGGTCTTCTGCAGGGTTAGGGTGAGGTATGGTTCCATTATGAGCAGTCAAATGAGAGTAAACTCATTCTTTTCTGAATGACATATACTGGACAATGGTTTTTCTGAACGTCATTCACAAAACTTTCCACTTCGTTCAAATGGCAGTCGCCTGAAATTCACCCCAGCCTCGTCAGAATTCTTAGCAATTATCCGGCTAATTAGGTATTTAGACCAGCTTCGTAACTGAGACCGTGAGGGGAACAAAATCCGGAAGACACTACATTCATCAGGAACTGAGTCTGAGGCCCCTGGGTTAGAGGGCAGTAATGCTTGTTGGACTGTTGACTATAGTTCCAAAAAACTGAATATATTTGTTCTTTGAGCAAAGTATAATGCACTTTTAAGACAAGAAGGTAGAGTGATGTTACCAGATAGGGGACAGGATGGAATGTTTTAAACTTACACCGAAAGATATGAGTTCATGAATCAGTGCTTACAGCCCTGTGCGAGTAAACATGTAGTGCTGTAATACTGCAGCTGTTCACTGGTGCTCCTAACAGACAGACACTGTAAACAGCTGAGCTGCTGCTGCTCTGTGCACAGGTGTCTTTCCTGTTGTGATATAAATTCTCTAACTGGGACAGTTTTATACATTTGCTCTCAAATCTTGAAAGAGATTAATGGTATTACACCTAGCATCAATTTAAAGTTTATTTTCATTCTGCTCATACACAGGTGTATGGTATAACGAAATGCTATTTAGCTAGCTCAGTCAGCAGGGGATTGTGGGAGTGTGGACCAAGCTACCCAGCCATGTGGTTGAAGCGGACGCCTTGCTTCTTTCTGGAAACAACTGACTGAGACCCTTGGGTCAATTACCTACCACCAAGTGAATGGTGAACAGCTCCTCTCATTTGTAATCTGTTTTATGTCCCAATGTTCTTAACCCTGTGCACAATTTTACTCCCATTCAAATACCCGGTATCAACCTGTGCAAATTTCACAACTTCCCTGATTCACGTCTGCCGCCTGAAAAGTAACCGAGTGGACCTCCCCAGAAGAGAAATGACCGCCCGTGTCTGTTCATGCTTAAATCTATCACCTGGTGGGAGCTGTTCAGAGCAGACTCTTAATGAACGAGTAAACGTTTTTTCCCTGCCGAACAGAGAAGAAAGAAAACACAACGTTTCGGCCGTGGAGCCTTCTTCGGGTGTGAGCAAGCTGGTTTAGTAAGAGAGGGCCCAGGGCCAGGCCCAGGGAGGAAGAGAAGGAATGACGAAGAGATCTAGAAAAAGATTTGGAGGAGGGCATAGTGGGTCGCAGCAGGTTTAGGTTGAAGTAGTTCAGGTGGCTCCCTGCGTCAGCGGGTATAGGCTGCAAAGGAACAAGTAAAGGTTTATTCCCCGCTGAAAAGAAAAGAAAGAAAAGCCCAACGTTTCAGCCGTGGAGCCTTCTTCAGGTGTAGGCAGGGCTGCATAGCTGCAGTACTTCAGGGCCGGAAGAGTTCTTGTTTTCCTGCCCCTTGACATCTTAAGAGACAGATAAGACTTTATTGATCCCGAAGGGAAATTGATGTGTTACAGCAGCCCAAAACAAGCAAAACGAACAGACATCAGGATAGACAAAAAATTAGAATACGTACAGTAATAAAAAATAAATATAAAATAAAATAAATAAATAAAAATGACCAAATTGAACTCATTAATTGCTTAATTAGAGGTGCTGGAGCCTCTCTTTGTCCTTAAGAAGTTGGGTTTGAGGGTCTCTCTAACCTGCGGGACAGTGGCCTGTGAGGACAGGGGTGGGTGCCCCCAGCCAGCGGGCCAGGTGTTTACCCAATGAAACAGAACATGCAGTGATTGCATTCGTCTAGAAAGCCGTGGGATTGCGAGGAACAATCAAGCCACACAGAGGCTCATCAGATCAGATCTTATCCTGTTTCCCAGGCGTGAAGTGATCAGACAGCACACGGCTCGCCCTCCCCTGGATAAACGCCAGTGCGTCACAGCTCCTGCTCCCAGGCAGGGGGTAATGGGGGCAGAGTTTGTCACGCGAGGGGTGACAGCTGTGTCTGCAGCGGGGACTCACTCCCGCACGCCGTCAGCCACGAGTCCAGGCTCACGCCCACACACACCGCGGACAAGTGTCCTGGACGTCCAGTCACCTGCCAGCATGGCTTTGGACAGTGGAAGGAAACCAGAGCACCTGGAGGAAGCCCCACATGAACACGAGGAGAACATATGAACCCCAGACAGACAGCACCCCAGGGTGGGCATTGAGCCCCTGTGCTGAGAGCTAGCAATTACTTTATTTATTATTATTATTATTATTATTATTATTATTATTATTATTATAGGCAGTAGGCAGTCTACAAACACACCAATCAACACACGAATTGGAGCTGCAGGGAAATACGTTTTGTGCATCTGTATGCTTTGCTGTGTGTGTGACTTTCAGTTGTCTTTCAGAATTAAGACTGCAGAAAGAGACCGGCGTCCTGGTGGAATTTCAACCAGGTGCGTGGTTTTTTTTTAGTGTTGCATATATTCAATTTTTTAGCATAGGATCTGTCCAAAATCTCGCTCTTCAGTCAGGGCGAAAGGATGTGACGGTAAACGTACAGCAGATGGCGCCATGGAAACCCATCTCTCCACCCTCCCCTCCCCCAGCTCTTGTTCTCGCGATACTTCGAAGAGCCAGGGGGCGGGCTCGGGCACGAAAGCGAGGTGGGGCGGCGCGCAGAGCACCTTGGGAAGGAGAACAGGCAGCACGAGAGGACGGAGCTGCGCCGAGGGAACAGCAATGGTAAGACTGCACGTGTGGGGAAGAAAATAACTTCACTGCGCAGACCGAGTCAGCAGGTGCTTTTCAGTGAGGCAATACAGTGGAGGTATTGCTTGTGCGAAGGAACTGACGGAAAATACGTTTTCTGGCTCTTTAGACGTAGCCGGCGGAGATGCGGGTCACACGCAGTCTGGAACAGTGGCCCCAGTCAGGGTGTTGCTGTTGCAAAGCAGTACTCGGTAGCGGTGTAATAAGTAGTATGAAATAGCTGTATCTGTGGGAAGTTACATATGGATGAAAAAATCAATATTTTTTATCAGATTTCTGCAGATCTTCGGTTAGTTGCATGCTAGCTCACAGCTGCTCGGGGCTGCAGCTAGGCCCCAGGAACAGAAAACGATATTTGACGCGGGGAACGGGCCGGGGAAGTCACAGTGCTGGGAAAGAGCCGCAGTTAAAACCCCTGCACCGCGCGCGCTCTGGAGCCCGGCTCGTGCTCGGAGCTGGCGCCGGCCCACGTGTTGCCCTCTCGCTCGGGAGCGGCGGTGGCGGGGCTGCTGCTGCACCATCCTGGGCCCGTCAGGGCTGGAGAAGGACGTGGGGTACGCAACACGAGGCGCTTGTTGCGGGGGGGGGGGGGTTCCTGGCGCGGGCCTCCGGCCCGTCGCCACGTGGTGGGGGGGAGCGGGGCGCGCACGTGGCGACGCGGACCCGAGCGGTTTCCTCTGAAGCGCCTGCAGGGGCGAGTTTCTGGTACAATTCCTCTCTTCCCCCCCCCCAAAAAAAAACCGAATGAACCGAGGAGTGTTTTCATGGCGTCTCTCGGCGGTGTACGATCCTGACAGGCAGAATTCAAGCCTCTTTCCCGGGGTCTGAGTGCGGGGGTTGAGCACGCCGTGATGCCGGATCCACGTGGTTCCGGCGCGGTGCGGCCATGAGAGAGAGGCCTTACAGAATGAAATAGTTCACGCTTTTTTTACACTGGAAAAACCTCGCTGTTGTTGGACTAAAAGCGCAGAGCCCTCTGGCGACCGCGGTGCTACTGGGAAATGACAAAATGGGAACAAGTAAAGGGTTATTTGTTGCTGCCGAAAAGAGAAGTTACGTTTCGGCTGTGGAGCCTTCTTTGGTGGCTCCGCGGTGAGTCGATCTTCTCTTTTCAGAAGGGAACAACCTTTGCCTTGTTCTTCTGCAGCCTGCGCATGCTGACACGGGTCCCTACTTGAATGGCAAAATAGTCTTCCTTTCTGCAGTACCTCTGATATCACGAGGAAGGGGATGAGTCCCGTTAACACGCGGCATGAACACGCATTTGTAGTTTTTTGTTCTTATGTTAATCAGTAGTTCTTCCGCTTTCTGTCCCGGTCTCTTTTGATGTGGATCGTGTCTTGGCTCTGTAGTACACCAAGGTGTCGGTTAATACCGATAGTTTGTGTTGGAGGACTCTCCCTGAGATCTGTCACCATGAATTACAGCTCAATCCTGCTGCTTGTCTAGGCCTCTGCGTGTCCTCCTGTACAGATAGGCAGCGGCTGTCGCTGCCCTTACAGTGCTTTTCATCTCCAAGCTCTTCACCGGGGAAGTAAAGCAGAGACGGGGGTTTTAAAGGCACGCTGCTGCGTGGTGTAATGTGGAGCAGGCTGGTCTTGCACTTCGTTATTTCCAGGGTGCGTCTGAATATAGAGGGGAGGTGATTCACACTGAGGTTCGCAGCCCAGCTGGGAGATGCGCTGGCGGGTCAGAAGGGGGCGCCAGACCTGCTTGTTCCAGCGAGTGTAGGGAGATGTCAGGAGCTCGGACGGAGCCGGGACACCGGTGCTGCTGCTGCTGCCTGCTGGCCCGTGGCGTGTGGCCTCACCCCCGGCCCTCTCTCCGCAGGTGCTGCTACACGTGCTGTTCGAACATGCGGCGGGGTACGCGCTGTTCGCCGTCAAGGAGGTGGAGGAGATCGGCATGCTGCTGCCCCAGGTGAGGCCCTGCCCTTTGACCCCGCCCCAATCATAATGACACTCGGGTGAGGGTGTTTGTCCTCCACGTGTAGCCTGAGACTGTCGGTATCCATGGGCTAGAGACCACTGCAGTGCAGCTCTGTGCTGTAGTCAGACACATACCCTTGTTCTGTGCAGAAAATGTTGCTTGTGGTTTTTACCATAACTGCTTACTGCATGACTCATGGGTGTGAGGGGCAGAGGTGTTGGGTAGAATTTCAGATTTATAAAGCACTTAAAGTAGAAGGTTAATGTTTGCGGTCAATTTTAGCATCCCTGGTGTTCTAAAGTATTCGGCGTCAGGCTTTTAATGTTCACAATTAAGGATCCAGCAGCTGAGAGCCCCCTGTACAGCGTGCTGAGTTCCCAGGGCTTGTGTGACTTGCGATTTTAAATTCCGAGATGTTTGCACGTGTGTTTTCTGTCACCAGGTGGAGGAGAGTGTGCTGAATCTGGGGAAGTTCAGCACTGTGGTGAAGCTGGCGGCTTTCTCTCCTTTCAAGTCGGCCCAGGCGGCACTGGAGAACATCAACGCCATCTCTGAGGGTGAGGCGGGGAGTGCCGTGTGAGAGTGATCAGGGAGACTTGAAGGCGGCGAGGGGCGGGGCGGGGAGAGTCCGTGCCCAGATGTGGTGATGTTTCTGTAATCTGTCAATCCCCTGATGACCGCGTGATGTCAAAACTACAAAGCTGAACATATGGGCTGTTTTTTTTTAATGTGGGACCCCCGTTTCCTCACTGTGCCTCCTCTGTGTGTGCGTGCCTGCCTGGTCTATCCAGAAGCGAGTTTCCTCACTGTGCCTC